TATAGAGGGCTAGGCATTAGAAAGGATGAGAAGAAAAAAGAAGAAGGTAAAGTGAATAGAAAAAACAAGGAAAAAACCAAAAATAAAACACACATAGATGAAAATATGATAAAATTTAATAGTTATGTTTTATACAAAAACAGTTCTTATTAAAATTTTATTATTATGTTAGCAGTTAAAAAGTGATCAAATAGCATAGAAAAATAGAGCTTCGCTTTCTCTATCTTCTCATATAGAAAGAAAATTTCAATAAGCCTGTTATAAGAAAATAAGGTACCTGGGCCACTACTTTTGGACTGCCCTAAGTATATGCCCATTGCTTCTAATTTCATTAAACATACTAACTCATTACTAACACGTCTACATTTTCAATAAATAGAAACGTCTTACAGGATGTCTCATAAATAGCACTACGATAAAAAATTCAAATATCTATATTCCAGTTCAATCAAATGGGCTGATTTTTTGGCTAGTGATAGAACTTTATTCAAAATTTTTTATACGGATAATTTAAGTAAACACTTCTATTAAGCATTATTGTTGACCTCACTAAAGAAATTTGATCTGTTATCATGTAAGCAAAAATACATATGAAGGCTTCCATAGATAATTTTTAGTTGTTACTTAAGAAAGCAACAAGAAGAAATTAAAATAAGTTTTATAAGTAATATAGCATTGATGCAAATAGACCAAATTTTCAGAACTAGCATTTTTAAATGTCACAAGTCGTGTCTGAAAAGTAAAATGCACAATTAAAGTCCTTTGGACACTGAATCATCAATTTCTTCGACTAAGCCAGTGCTCCATGCTTGAAAATCCGGAATATTGTACTCGTTGATTTTTAAATTAACTACTCTTGAAAGTTTGATCTATTTGTATCAATGCTATATCACTTATAAAACTTATTTTAATTTCTTCTTGTTGCTTTCTTAAGTAACAACTAAAAATTATCTATGGAAGCCTTCATATGTATTTTTGCTTACATGATAACAGATCAAATTTCTTTAGTGAGGTCAACAATAATGCTTAATAAAAGTGTTTACTTACATTATCCGTATAAAAAAATTTTTGAATAAAGTTCTATTCACTAGCCAAAAAATCAGCCCATTTGATTGAACTGGAGTATAGATATTTGAATTTTTGATCGTAGTCCTATTTATAGGACACCCTGTAGAACAACATTTTCAATACAACACCGATCTGGAACACAAAACTCATTGTCAGAAATTGAAACAGTCTGAACATGGCAGAAATAACTAATGCGTAGACATTCAAATAATATGGCATCAATTGTTGCTGAACATAATGGTCGTCCAGGAAATACTATGTTATTATTTGCTATTGTGACACCAAGATGAAAACTTTTCTCGGATGACGAGAAACATACTTTCCATTTTATGATCATGGATTCTTGTCTTATAATTATTTGAATAAATAAAAGATAGAATATAAAAACTTCATTTCAATAAGAACTTCTTGAAACGATAGGACTCAACAGAATGACAATTAGACTGTCCAAGATTCTTCAACCATGAGCACTGAAGATCAAGAACCCAGGAGTACAAGAAGATGCGAGGATTCACAAAACTTACGCCCCACTAGAATGCAAACTACTTAAAAAATATATCCCTAAAAACAATATGAGAAATAAAGCTATTATGCTTCAATTGCTATGACCAGTTACAATGAACCAGATTATATAAAAGAATATTGATTCCACATACAAACAAATTTTTCTTCTTTCGGTGATTATCTATCTCCTCTATGATCCTAACATCACTTGAAAAGATACTTTTTGTTTAATTATCTGATGAGACCCTAGAGCAAGATCGAAAGACATGATGATGTGCTTGATATGCACACAACTTACACCTAACATGATTTTTTGCCAAATTGAAACACATTGTGGTAGCTTCACTTGATGTTTCTTATCTTTATGTAAAATTTATTAATTCTCAACGTATACCCACAGCCAAAAAAAAAGTTAGAAGAAATATTAGTAGCAATAAGTAAAAGTTAGAAATAGTGAATCAATGAAAAACACTCAACTTCAGAGTGGTAATATTAACAAGTCTGTAGAAAAATTTTTAAATTGTCAGCACCTTCGTTGGCGACGACGAAATCCAACTTTCCATCATTGTCTAAATCATCAATGGCGATCGAGAAGGGAAGAGATCCATAACCGGTCGAAAAAAACTTTACACTTGCGAAAGAGCCATTTCCATATCCAAGCAACACACCTACATTGCTTGTACCATAATTGACAACAATAATGTCTAGCAAGGTGTCGTTGTTGAAATCACCAACGGCAACCGCTTTTGGTTGAGAATTAAAACCTGTCGTAAACGTCTGTTGGTCTGAAAATGAACCATTGCCCCATCCAAGAAATATACTAACAGTGTCATTGCCATGATTCGCGGTGACAATATCAAGTATTGTATCGTTGTTGAAATCACCAACAGCTATCGCCCATGGAGAGGCGTCGGTTGGATATGTCATTGGATTTGCGAAAGAATCATTGCCATATCTCAGAAAAATACTAACGTTGTTAGTACCTGAATTCGCAACTGCAATATCTATTTGACCATCACTATTAAAATCTCCAATGGCGAATGACTTAGGCTGAGATCCATTTTCAGTTATGAGTCTCATTTGGTTTAGAAAACCTTCATTGGGATATCCAAGATATACACTAACACTTATCTCATTATTATTCGCAACAACGATATCCAGTCGGGTGTCATTATTAAAATCACCAACAGCTACAAATGAAGGACTATAACCGGTTGAATATGTCATTTGACTTGCAAAAAAGCCATTGCCATATCCAAGAAGCACACTGATAGTGTTGTCATTCCAATTACTGATGACGATATCCAGTCGGTTGTCATTATTAAAATCATCAACAGCTACAGAAGTTGGTCCAGAGCCTGTTGAATACTTGGTTTGATTTGCAAAAGAACCATTACCATATCCGAGAAGTACACTTACAGTATCGTCATCATGATTAGCGACGACGATATCCAAATGGGTGTCGTTGTTAAAATCACCAACAGCTGCAGAACTTGGCACAGAGCCAGTTGAATATGCCATGTGATTTGCAAAAGAGCCATTGCCATATCCAAGAAGGATGCTTAGAGTGTTGTCACCATAATTAGTAACCATAATATCCAGATGAGTGTCGTTGTTGAAGTCATCAACAGCTACAGGCCATGGATAAGAACCGGTTGGATATTTCATTTGATTTGCAAAAGAGCCATTTCCATATCCAAGAAGGATACTTACAGTATTATTACCATAATTAGTGACCACAATATCCAGATGAATATCGTTGTTAAAATCACCAACACCTACAGCTCGTGGGCCAAAGCCAGTTGAATAAGTTGTTTGATTTGCAAAAGAGCCATTACCATATCCAAGAAGGACACTTACATTGTTGCTACCAAAATTAACGACGACGATATCCAGATGAGTGTCGTTATTAAAATCGCCAACAGCTACAGACCATGGCCAAGAGCCAGTTGAATACGTCACTTGATTTGCAAAAGAACCATTTCCATGCCCGAGAAACACACTTACAGTGTGATCGTTCTGATTAGTGACGACGATATCCAGATGGGTGTCGTTATTAAAATTATTGACAGCTATAGATCTTGGTCCATAGCCAGTTGAATATTTTATGTGATTACTGAAAGATCCTATGTCGTATGCAACAAATACATCTATATGATCGATGCCATCATATGCGACCACGATTTCTGAACGTCTATCTTTGCTGAAACTGCCAGCACCAATCATCAATGGAGCGAAATCGAAATCTACACTGTAACTTGCTTGATTTTCAAATGTCCCATTCCCATTTCCCAGAAGTGTAACAAGGTTTTCAGTACCATAATTGGCCACAGCTATATCCACTTGACCGTCTTTGTTGAAATCATGGATAGCAATTGAGCAAGGATAGGAATTTAAACCTGTTGAAAGCACCGTTTGATTTTCAAAAGTGCCATTCTCATATCCAAGAAGGATACCTATGTTATCAGTGCCATAATTGACAACGGCGATATCCAATAGACTATCGTTATTGAAATCAAAAACAGCGAAGTTTTGCAAACGAGAACCATCGGCAGATGCAAATTTGATTTTATCTTTCAGAGCTCCTCTATCATATCGAAGTAGTATACCTACCGTGTTCTCATTAAAATTAACGACGACAAGATCCAGTCGAGTGTCATTGTTAAAGTCACCAACAGCTACAGATTGTGCACCAGAGCCAGTTAAATATGTCGTTTGATTTGCAAAAGAGCCATTACCATATCCGAGAAATACACTTACATTGTTGCCACCAAAATTAGCAACGACAATATCTAGTCGGGTGTCGTTATTAAAGTCACCAACAGCTACAGAGTTTGGTGCAGAACCAGTTGAATATGCCGTTTGATTTGCAAAAGAGCCATTGCCATATCCGAGAAGTATACTAACAGTGTTGCCACCAAAATTAGTGACGACGATATCCAATCGGGTGTCGTTGTTAAAGTCACTAACAGCTACAGAGTTTGGACGAGAACCAGTTAAATATGTCGTCTGATTCGCAAACGAGCCATCACCATATCCGAGAAATACACTTATAGTGTTGTTATAACCGTTAGCTACGACGATATCCAGTCGATTGTCATTATTAAAATCACCAAGAGCTACAGACCTAGGCCAATAGCCAGTTGAATATGTCATCTGATTTGCAAAAGAGCCATTTCCATATCCAAGAAGTATGCTTATGGTAGCGTCATCATTATTAGCGACGACAATATCCAGTCGGGTATCGTTGTTTAAGTCACCAACAGCTACAGACCATGGCCAAGAGCCAGTTGAATATATTGTTTGATTTGCAAAAGACCCATTACCATATCCGAGAAGTACACTTGTAGTATTGTCACCATTATTAGCGATGACAATATCTAGATGGGTGTCAGTATTAAAATCACCAACAGCTACAGACCATGGCTTAGAGCCAGTAGAATATGCTGTGTGATTTGAAAGAGAGCCATTACCATATCCAAGAAGTATACTTACAGTGTTGTTACCCCTATTAGCAACGACGACATCCAGTCGGGTATCGCCATTAAAATCACCAACAGCTACAGAATATGGAAAAGTGTCAGTTGAATATGTCATTTGAATTGGAAAAAACTCATCATAACCAAACATGATATCTATGGTGCCTGTATCATTGTTGATGGTGACGATGTCTGAACGACTATCATTGTTTAAATCACCTATGGCAACGGAAATGGATGAAGAAGATCCAGTTGAATACATTGTTGGACTTGCAAAATTACCGTTACCATATCCGACAAGTAGAGCTGTATTGTTAGTACCATTATTGGTTACGACTAAATCCATTCGATTGTCATTGTTGAAGTCACCAATGCCGATAGAATATGGAGAAGCAGGACTGAGGGAATAAGTCGTTTGACTCATAAAAGTCCCGTTACCATGACCTAGAAATATACCTACACTGTTATTTCCATAGTTGGTGACAGCAATATCTAGCATAGTGTCATCGTTTAAGTGACCAACAGCAATCGAGTATGGATGGGAATTAGGACCAGTTGAAAACGTGATTTGATTTGCAAAAGTGTTGTTACCAGTTCCAAACATTATACCGACGTTGCTGGTGCCATAATTGGCGATAGCAAGGTCCATCTGTTTGTCGTTGTTAAAATCGCCACTGACAACCGCAAATGGAAAAGAGTCATAACCCGTAGAGTATGTGCTCGGGCTTGAGAAGCGTCCATTTCCATATCCATGAAATATGCTTACACTATGTGTGCCGTAGTTAGCGGTGACAATATCTAATGCTGCGTCATTGTTGAGATCTGCTACATGGATCCAAACAGGACGAGATGATGCAACCGAGAGTACTGTTTGGCTTGTGAAAGATTCATCTTGGAATCTAAGAAGTACACTGACACTATTTGTACCGAAATTTGCGACGGCGATATCCATTCGATGATCGTTGTCGAAATCACCAGCAGTGATCATGTATGGAGCAGAGTCAGAGCCGGTGAAATACTTGACTGTGCTTCTCACGATGTCATTGCCATATCCAAAATATATAGCTATATAGTCAGCAGCATAATTGGCAACAGCAATGTCTAGCCAAGTATCGTTGTTGAAATCACCCGTGGTGACAGATCGTGGGCCACTCTTATAGTCAATTGGATTTCGAATGGCTGTTTTAAAATTAAGTTGACATTTTGGAACTAAGTAATATAAGAACAAAGATGTAAAGACTGATCAACTACTATGATCCAACTATCCCTAAATGATTGTATCAGATTTCCATTATTCTGATGATTTTGCATTGGGAATTGTCGGATTATTACAACCAAATCTGGATGGGAACCAGTACTTTTCAATAGAATCTCGTTCAGTCTTATGAAATTTACCACTTAGATTACTCATTGTACGTTCTCTTTCATTTTCTTGAGAATTTGTTCACAAAAACGTATAGTGAATGAGGAAGAATAAACACAGCAGCTAACATGATAAAAAAAGAACCGTTGACTGCCTCTAACTATTACAAGTTCAAAACTGTATTCGTTTGTATTTTACTGGTTCTTCGAGGACATGTCACTAGCTTCAATTATAATATAATAATGAAAGTTTCGAACCGTTTTGAAATAAAACGAATGTCAGCACCTCTGCATTCCAATATTCCTACCAACACGTCATGAATATCAGGCATTGTTAATTAAGAACAACAATTAGAATATAACAAGTCTTTCTATGAGTATTCGAGATTACACAATGAATAGAACAATGACAGTTTATTAACAGTTATCACTGGACGAATTGAGTGACGAGTCATTTCTGATGTTGAATATCATGACCTGTAATTCCCTTTTGTCTGATCATACTCCCTTGTTACAATATGACCTGTATAGCTATATGATAGTTTCCAGTAAACAATAAGTGCTTTGTATTTGATTAGAGCGCTGAGATGACGAATTTCTGTTACTAACATACTATCTTATTGGATAACGGAAAATGAGTCAGTTTAATTTTTCACTCCAAAGAAGCTTATTTTAGGAAAATAACCATGCGTTGAAGGTTTGATCAAATGATTTTCAGGTCAAGGAATCTGAATCCGTTTATAGTTTCTCAAAATTTGTAGTATCGTTATTTTTGAGATACCATCCTTCAAAAGTAAAAATCTCAAGGCTACACATTTCGAGAAGCCATTAATAAATGATGGAGACGCATAAAAAGACAAATCTGACCACCTCAGAATTCTCAAAATGAGTGTATATTTTGAGGCAGAATGGGGCGGCGAATCCTTGGGTGCCACATTCGAACAATTTGGAAAGGGATTCGATGGCTTCTGACGTAGATTACAATCCTGTATTTTTACTGCATCCAGATAGCCATAGAGTAACAATAAGTCTGTCAAAAACAATTTTCTCCGCTTCTGATAAATAGTCTCATTTGAAAAAGCAGCAAACTCTGCACGAACTCCGTTATGAACCATTCAGAAATAATAAACATAAGCTGAATTTACTTTGAACTGATAGTAATTCTATCGATGTATAGTGTATGTCATGAAGGTTCAGACTTCTTAATTGCTTTGGTAATTGTGTAACGATGGACTTTCGTCTTCAGGATTTGATGCAGTTTTTGACGGACTATACGATGACACAATTTTCTTTTGGATATCATAAATATACAGATGACAAACCTCTACTAATCATCTTAGATTGATTCCAGAAAATAGATAATCGGTTTTTGTTTTGCTAATATAAATATTGTATGTTCTTCTGAAACAGCAGCACACATGGTCGCAGCTTTAGAGAATATCAACCCTCGGAAAAATATAGCTCATAAAATGATTAGAAGAAAACTATACCAACGTGTAGTCTGTCAAAAACTACATGATACTCTGAAGAGAACAATCCATCATAAGTCATGTCGAAAGCAATTGAGAAGTCTGAACCTTTATGACACATCTGAAATATCGATAGAAACACTATTGCCTCACCATAAATTCAGCTTATGTTTACTTTTTCTGGATAATTCATCTAAAAGTTTTTTCAGGATTTTCTGCTCTTTGAAATGAGACTATGTATAAACAGGCGCAGAGATGATTTGACAAACTTATTGTTAGTATAAAGCCACTTGAATGTACTAAAAAAATGGTATAGTAATCTGCATGAAAAGTCATTGAATCATTTTCCAAGTAGTTCGAATGCAGTATCAAATGATTTGTCGGCTCATTGTGCATCAAAATATGTACTTCTCTTGAGAATTCCAAAGTCAGCCGAGCTGTCTTCTTTAAGTGTCTCTCCTTTGAATTCCCAGACTTTCAAGACAGATGATCAAAGTTTATAAAAAAAATTGTTATTTTCATAAAACTGGTTTTCTTTGAGGCAAAAATCAAATTGATCAACTTCTTCTTATCAGCAAGTACTACTTATCACTTACTGGTAACGGTAGTAATACGAATGCCATATTCCTAAATACCCTCTGTTTGAGCTCATAGTTTTCTCGTTAGTAGAATCTATAGAATAGAAAAAACTCTAGAAGGACTCATCCTGTTATCGATACCTCAATCAAGGAACATTTTCAGAAACTGATATTTTACAAACTCGTCTTATGCATTGTTACTTGTGTAAAAATAAAAGATTTTCAGTTAATATATTCACTTAATAAGAAAATAAAACTGATACGGAAAATGAGAATGAAATAAAAGATCAAGAAAATAATTGATCAGCCCCATGTTGATAACAGTTCGAAAAAAATACAGAGTGAATCATAGTTCTTGTTGCACCAAGATCAAAGAATCACTGGCCCATCACTACAATTTTTTTCATAACATATATCTGTTTGAAATGTGAAACAAACGTCTTTAACATGCTAAAACGGATCTGGATCAATTTTCAAAGAACAGTTTTGAGCCAAATGTATTTTATCATAGGTTGAGCAGCTAGGATGCAGACGCAGGTGTATGAGTTTAGAGAAAAGAAATCATCTAAACTTCATACATTAACGCTCACCAAGACGGTGGTGTGTTGATGCTGATAGTAAGAGATCTTCTAAATCTTGATCATCTAATTCGTCATCATGATTCAATGTCGTTTCCGTTTCAAATATATGAGATGTTCTTTTCAAAATATAATCTAAACATTCATATAGATTCAACACAATGTGTTCTTCATTAGAAATGATTGAAGATAGTGAGTTACAGGACAATTTGTCTGATGTCAGGTTTAATAATACTTTTAAGATGTTGTGAAGATTACTAATTTTATTATCGACACATGTGTTTACTATCTGTTCACTTTCTGAAGATGGACAACCACTAACCAACTACTAGTCAAATAGAATTTTTATTTTATGATGTATATACAAAGTTTTATAGTTTCAAAGAGCAATGACAAAAAAATTCACTAAAATGTAATAAAGAAATGAGAACTCGCTGGAGAATTCGAGAGAGAATACACATGAGCCATACAGAAGGACAGAAAAAGAAAACGAATGTATCGGAATATACTAGAAAAGAGGACGTATACGCATTCCAACATGATAATAGAACGAAAGAAGATATAGATGAAACACATATAATGCTTACTCTCCTCCACAGGAAACATAAAATGAGAAAATGTAAAGAAGATGTGTTCTGTGGAAAAGAAATATTTACTTTCGTTACGTTCTATGATAAAATCACTTGTATTTTCTCTTATTCTTTTGCATTTCTATTATATTCAAGAACATATTGATGAGATAGAGAAAAATAAATTCAGGATAAGCTGCTGTTTTCATTCAGAGATGTGAAAGAGTACCACCAAAAATAATAGAAGCAGTGATTCAAGAGCATTGAATTAGACAAACTTGATCTCTCTACAACAAGTAACAATGTGTAACATCAGTTTGTAAAAAATCAGGTCGTGAAATTTCTGTTTTATTGAGATATGGGAAAAATCTATAAAAAACATAATAATCTCCATCTTAGACAAACTTATTATCCTTGTTACTCTAGAACAAAGCGGCAATGGGATGATTCTTTCTAGAATTCTTTTCTGATCTATAATCCCTACAAATAACTAAAATAGAAGGGTCCAACTTATGGGCCAAGTATTAATTCTACTGGTGATGATCACCTTGGTTGGTTTGCAGTCGTCAGTGCTAATTTGAAATGGAAAAGTGAAGCAGTTATAATGCTTATAATTCCATCCTCGCTTGATGATTTATTTCGAACACATCGATATCAAATATTATCATAATTTGGGTTTTTTTAATCAAAACTCACAGTACTGGTAAAACAAAACAGAATTAACTATGGATTTTTTTCGTATTGAATACAAAGAATATAAAACAACAAGGACATACTCGGTGGTTTTGGTGCGGTTAAACAAACAACTATTATACCGATGATCGTAACTATACTTGTAATCGTAGGCAATACAAAGACAGGTTTGGTTATGAAACCCAACGTTACCCACCAACAAAATTTCCTGGAAAAGAGCAACAACAATGATATTTAACATCAAAAGAAAAAGTCATACATATTCTGTCGAATCGTGTAATTTTTTATTCGATCGATGGTACTGTTCTGAATGTTTCTTGCGTTTTGCGCATTTGAAATTGATTTCGGCTTCTTGTTTGCATCGATGACAACACTATTCTTACGACTCAAGTGGTTGATC